CATTTATGAGCAGGGGCTGGATAGCTGTTTTATTCTTCCTGAAGTCTATAATCAGTTCCTTGGTCTTGGTGGTATTAAGAGCCAGGTTGTTATCTTTGCACCATTTGAATAGCTGCTGTACCTCATCCTGGTAGGCCGACTCATCCCCCTCAGAGATTAGCCCTATCACTGTCGTGTCATCAGCAAACTTGATGATGGTGTTGCTGGAGTGGGTAGGATTACAGTCATGTGTGTACAGGATGTAGAGTAGGGGACTCAGTACACAACCCTGGGGGGATCCTGTATTGAGGTTAAGAGCTGAGGAGGTATGTGGGCCTACTCTGACTTTCTGGGTTCGGTCTGAGAGGAAATCCTTAACCCAGAGGCATGTAGAGTGGGGTAGGCCAAGGTCTACTAGTTTGGCCACCAATCTATGGGGAAGCATGGAGTTGAAAGCAGAGCTAAAATCTACGAAGAGTAGTCTTGCATAGCTACCCTGCTGCTCCAGGTGAGTCGGAGCAGTATGAAGAGCAATGGCCAGAGCATCCTCCGGCCTGCAGCTGCAGGTGGCTGTTCTGCTTCTTCTCAGTAATATTGTTGTTCTGGTGAGTTCACACAGTGTTAGCATTCACAGGATGTTACAGTGTGTCTTAGACTGCGGGACAAGGAAACAATGCAGTGTTTGCAGGATGTTAAAGGATAGAATTGATCATAGCTGAAATCATTTCACAATCTATGATAACTGTAGATACTGATTCAAGTCAGAGTTTAAAGTTTCACTTTGCACAGATTTTTATTTGTTATTTTTAGGACTTCTGTCTGCACAGAGATAAAGTAAAACAAGCACAAAACATTTATTATTCATGCAGCATCAACATGAGGAAATGAAAGAACTTAACAGCACAATTTAGGGTGTGAAAGATTTTCAAATAGCATTTTCACTTCTTGCTCATAAAATTGTAAATGTGATGAAATCAAAAATTGGATAACGACAAAAATGACTCACTTTAAAATACGATAACTGAATAACAGAAAATGCTTTTTAAACATTTGTTAACAGGCTGTTTTCTGTCTGAACCTTTTATTGTATTAAAATCAAACTTCTGAATGAGGAGAGTAGAACTGTGCGTGGCAGGGAAGAAGATAAATATAACAATTAATTTCGACTATGCAATGGGAATTTACAGAAAGTAAAACTTACCACTCTACAGATCAGTTACTAAAGAAATCAATGTATGGAAAAACATTAATTATTGGAACTGTTTATAGCACATGGTATTCAGATTTTCAACCTTGGCCTGGATACAGGCACTCTACTACGGACACGTTTCCACTTGTACCTGTTTAGCAGCTGCCCCCTGGTCAGACTGAAGTATTTCATGTCTTGTTCATGCTTTAGTGCTTGTTTTGCAGACTGTTTAATCAGTTATGCCATGACAGCATAGTGGCTGCATAATACGCTCCCCAGATGTATATGTTGATGTAAACAGGGAAGGAGAAAGTGGAAGTAGAACGAGGATTTTAACTGACAGGTTTTTTTTTTGGGACGGGTCACTACAGGTCATAACTCTGCAACTGTCCTCTGTCCTCATATCGCCTGTCAGTCCCACATTATGTACCCTTGAGCTCAGGATAACTTCATGTAGCTGTGAGTATAGCACGTTAGTGTTCGTTGCTGATATGTGTGTGCACTGTAGATGTTACTGGCTCACTTCTCTGCTCATTTACTATTGGGCCGTAGTGGATTAGCAGGTTTATGCAGCGATAGCCGTAATAATACACCAAGAATGAAACTTGAGTGGAGTTCACTTCTGTGCTCAATAAAGACTAATTGCCACCTCTAAACCAGTGTGTCTGGGCCAAGTAGAAAGAAATGAGAGCTACTCATTTAACAAATCTGCTACAAACCTTTGAAATACAGTGGATTCAGAAAGTTTTCAGACCCTTTCAGATGTGCCACATTTTATGCTTCAGACTCATTGACAGTTTCAAGCCTTCTTGAGAATGAAGCAGCAAGCTCAGCACCTTTCATTGGAAAATTTCTTCCATTCTTCTTGGCAGAATTGTCCAAGGTCACCAGGTTGGATGGGGAGCATTGGTGTGCAGCCATTTTCAGGTCTCTCTAGGTGCTCTATTGAATTCAGGTCTGGACTCTGGCTGGGCCACTCCAGGACTTCCAGTGTTTTCCCAAGGCCACTCCTAGGTTTTCTTGGTGGTATGCTTCCCTCTATCCTGACTAGTCTCCCACTCCCAGAGGCAGGAAAACATCCCCACAGCCTGATGCTGTCACCACAGTGTTTGACTGTAGGGATGGTATTAGTGAGGTGATGCTCAGGGCCTGGTTTTCTCCACACACACCGTTGGGAATTGTGGCCACATAGTTCAGTCTTTGTTTCATCAGAACAGAGGATTTTGCTTGCTCATGGTCTGAGAGTCCTTCAGGTGTCTTTGTGCAAACTCCCAGCAGGCTGTCATGTGCCTTTTAGTGAGGAATGGCTTCAGTCTGGCCGCTCTACCATAGAGGTCTGATTGGTGGAGTGCTGTGCCGAGGGCCTTCATCCCTGATTACTCAATTTGTCTAGTTGGGCAGATCTATGAAGACTGGTGGTGGTTCCACATCTGTTCCGTTTGAGAATGATGGAGCCTTCTGTGTTCTTGGGCACATTCAGTGCTGCAGAAATGTACCAAAACCTTTCATGCATTCTAATGTTTCATTTGTGATGTTTTGTGTGACTATAATGATACTGGTGATAAATGATGATTTCAGGCCGTGAGTCACACGAAATGTAAACAAAACATACACAAAAGTAGCCTCTTGTTATTAGAACATTGTCTACAATTATATGCAAACCTGGGGGTTCATGATGTGATGACAACTTGCATCATCTGACATAATCAGGATGAGTCAGTGCATGCCTACAGATTCCCACCCTCACCCAGATTAGACACAGCTGTCAACAGATACCAGCCTGCAGCCATGAGGCTGTTGATAGTAATGGAGGTCTGCCACCTAAAGGCCAATGCCAGACATTACACCTGGAAACAGACATGGAGTTGTGAGAAAGACTCACAAAGGAAAGTTATGAAAATATCTAAATCAGTTAATTAAGTCACTGCTGATGGCCTGCACACAAGGCTTGAAACATACAACCCTATAAAACAGTGGTGTAATAAAATGTTTACCCTGTTTTAGACCCTTTGAAGATACTTGAATCAGTCGTGGTACACTGTGGGGTCATTTTACAGCAAGGGAGGCGTTTAATGGAATTATGACAATAGAAGCAATAATTAAACAACTTTAAAGCACTCTATTGACAATAGAAAAACTATACAATAATATAGTATCTTCTGTTGATATAACAGATTGCGTTAATAAATATGCCACCATTTTGAGATTGTGACAAACTACTGGGAAAGATGCAGATTATTTACAGCTTTAAATTCCTCTTGATGAAAACAAAAGTATACATGTTTATCTTAAATTAAAATCTCAAACAAAAAGACAAAATAAAAAAAAAAACTCCACATTTGCTGTATAATAATTTACTTCAATTTACAATCATTATTCGGTGGTAATGTTCTTGCTCGCAAGAAAAATCAGACAAAGATATCAGCTCATCTCTGTGACGATACAGCTAAGCAGTAAGTGAGCCATGCTGGATACACAACTATAACTTCTGTTACACACGTTTTTGGCAGGTCTTTTGTTAGTGTTTACGTCTGCTGTCTACTGCCCACCTTGTGTACATTGTGTTCCTGAGCGGCTCTTGTTGCAGAAAGCGCCTTAACTTTACATCTTGATAGTGAGTTCTTGTACTGGTCTGTAGAAGACCAGTTTAATGTTCAGACTTTCAGAGTGAGGGCATTTTGGTCCTTTCTTTGTCAGTTAGTCGAGTAAGAACTAAGTCTTCGGTTTTAGGATTACAATTATATTTAGATATAGCTTATATGATGAGGACTGAGGTCAGACATGGCTCTGATGGTTAAGGTTTAAGAATAGAGAAATCTTTACACTTAATGGAGGTCCTCAAAGTTTACATGTATGCGTGTGTGTCAGGGTTGAAGAGAGAATGAGAAAAACTTATTCCAACAGCTTCGTTGTCGATGTTGATGTCCAATAAACTAATCTGAGTACATATATTCTAAACTGGAGCTAATTAAAAACAAGCCTACACTGTCACATTAAAGAAGAAGTCTGCCAGTTATACACATAAAAGTGTGTTTAAAGGCCTTGGGGAGGACTGTTGCACTGGTGGGGAAATAGCTATATGAAGCCTTTTGTGACACAACATGATAAACTGCCTCAAGGCACTTGTAGGGTTTTTGACCCGAGTGCTTAGAGTCGGTGTTGGTTGGAGCTGAGCTAAAAGCTGGAGGTGTAGATCTAGAAAGAAGTGAACAGAGCAGACCCCTGCAGCCTGATGCTCATCTTTACTTGAGGCAACATTAGCTGCTTCTAGGATAACACATCGGAATCTGAACTGAGAGAGTATTCCATTTGTTGAAAACTTTTGAATGAGATTTGTGTCATTTCTGCTTTGCACCAAACCAAAAATGGTCAAGAAACCAGACAATAACAATATTGAATAACGTCCACCAGGATGCCTGTTCTCAATAATTTATGGTGGCAAACATCACTGGTTGTGTTGTCACTTTTCAAATCTAACTGTGTGCCCATATTTTTAACCATCCAGATAATGAAGTACACACTTCAGGTTACTGAGAATATGTTAATATATGCGTCCATTCATATGCACTTGCTCAGTGTGCTGATTTGAATCAGAAGAAGAACTATTTCTGAGTCATTAAGTTGTCTGCCTTTTAATTTCTTTGTTTAAATGCCAGTGGTTTGTGTGTGCATGAGGGAGGGAGCTTCAGGTGTGTCTCTTCATGTGCAGAGCCAGATGGTCGGAGCGGGAGAAGGCTCTTTGACACAGCAGGCACTTGTAGGGTTTTTGACCCGAGTGCTTGCGGTAGTGACGTGTCAGCTCGTCTGAGCGGGCAAATTTCCAGCTGCAGCCCTCCCATGAGCAGTGGTAAGGCTTTTCTCCTGATGAGTAAACAATAAAGCACATACTGATGATTAACAACAAATGAACATGTAAATGAACTTGCGTGTTGAGATCAACCATGACAGACTTTCTTGTTGTTTCTGTGGTGAGTCACAGGGTTTACCTGTGTGGGTGCGGAGGTGAGCCTTGAGGTGTGAGCTCTTGGTGTAGGTCTTGCTGCAGCCGGGGTATTCACAGCTGTGGATGGCAGGCCTCTTTTTCCCCATGGCCCTTCGACCACGCTTCCCCTCCATCCCAGCATGGGGCAGTTGGGGTCCAACCAGCAGGGGCTGCTGGTGAAGGGGCAGATGACCAGAGGCCTGGCTGGGAGTGTAGTCACAGAAAATGTTGGCATTGTGGTTAAAGTGGGGCATGTAGCTGTAGTGTCGGGGCTCGGGGGTCACAGCTTGATTTGGGATGAACCTGTTGTCAGAGAAGGTCACCATGGAGGGCTGCTGCTGGGGACAGTAAGGGGTGAAGTCCCACGTTGTGACTTTATTGTGGTTTCCTCTGCTTCCTTGGGGGAAGCCAAACTGATCTACGTTGGGTAGAGTGGGAAATGAAGTCCGACCTGTTTGGTGATCATTGTAACCATGGTGGTACATCTCTGGCTGAACTGACACTGTGGGTTCAGGAGGGGACAGGAGCTCAGCCATGAGGCTGCCACTGTTCACCTGCACTCGTTCCTGTCTTGGTTGGTCCTTAAACATGCTCGCCTCTTGGTATGCTGTGTTTTGCTCAAACTGTGGGAACTGCTGGTCATTGTTGTCCAGAGAGGGATTGAGCTCAGGCGATGGGCTGTTCCACTCAGACAGCAGGAACTCAATGTCCCAAGATGCTCTGCTGTCATCATCCAATAGCTTCTCTGTCATTTGCTGAGAGACAAGCAGCTGCTCAGAGCTGATCGGTGACAGTTTGCTGCTCAGAGTGTCCATAGGAAGAGAGTCACCCTCAGACTTCCACACCTAGATGGTTTTAGAGGGTATTAAAGAAGAGATTCACTTTTTCCCCAGTCCATTTTAAAACAATGCTAACATGTTATTGGTTGCTGAAACTGGTTCCTGCTGTCCATCAAAGAAACCTTCCTAAAGTGAATTCAGTGTAAGTGACGAGGGATCAAAGGCACAGACCACAGAGCAACTTCTTCCAAATTATTAGTCTTTTATTATCAGTCAAATTATTGGACTTTGTTTTACAATGTTTCCTCATCACTTATATTGAAATCTACTTTAGAAAGTATCTTTTTGCAGCCACTGTGGACCTTAAGTCCATCAACAGTGACAAGTAACTCTTTTTGTACATACAGGCATGCAGAGTTGAAAACTATTACACCTGTCATTTAAGACATTACTGTAATCAAAAACTCTTCAATAACTACAGAACCTCTTCATTTTACAAAGTGCATTTTATTTTATTAACATTTGGAGATACTTTAGACAGAAACAACCTATATTCATTTTTAGAGGAACAAGATTGAGATTTCATCAAAAATTGGAAGTGTGTCCCTAATAAACAAATGAAAATATGTTCAGTGCTACAGCGTAAGTGGAAACATTCTCAAGAGCTTATTCTCCTCACAGTGTAATTTCTTATAAACCTCTGAACTCATAGTGTAAAGAAAGTCAATTTGACCAACTTAGTAAAAATCTTAAATGCAAGAGCTGCTTGCAGGAAACTTCATTTTTTTACAGGGCGCTGAGCTCTTTTTGATGCACCTGTATAAAAAATACTGGATGCACAAGTTTTTCCCAAATCTTTTAAAATGATCGAAACATACAAATCTCTTTTTGTAACAGATGTGAAGTTTAAATTTGACACACATCACACCCTCAACATTATAGTGCAAGATAGACCCATTTGTCAAATAAGGGATATGAATATAGTAGAATATAGAGTAATAGAATAGAATATAGAGTAATATAACTGCAGAATAAACATATAACCAGCAAATAGATATGTGGTTGTTCAAATAATTTTTTTTCTTCTGTGTAGAAATCAAAGAATTGAAGTTGACGTGATACTTACTTTCATATTGTCACTGGAGTGAGCAAGGCTGGAGAAGGAGCTGAAGGAAGGGAGCACAGCCTTTGTAACAGCCATCAAGAGCTTTGAAATGACGTTTACTGACAGCGGTAGCAACAACGGTGAAGTTTCTTTTTTCTGTTATTGTTCTTACATGATCAGCTTACCGTCAGCTAATGTAAAGTGAAGCTCCGGCTCACCCGGCCACTCACTCCAGTTACAGCTCACTCGGTGGTTAAAGGCCACAGAAACAGTTTCTGTGGCTGCTGTCTCCTTTTTTCCATTCCTCCCCTGCTATCTCTCCCTCCTCGCTCTTGTCTCTCTCTGTCAGCTGCAAGTCCAACTTCAAATCTGTCTTTTTCATGTAGGTTTTGACCGTTAGGAGGTGGAGCGTGGTGTGCGAGTGACTTAACTTGCTTATTTTTTTTAATTCCTTAGGATTGTTCACTTACAATCACTAACTACTACTCTTTTACCTCAGCTCACTGTCTTCCTGTTCTGTGGGATTCAGGGTAAAATATCAATGCTGATAAAAATGATGAGAACCAATGTGTCATTTCACCAAGAAAAATCACAAAATACTTGTCTAGTAAATGTACTGTGTTTATAACGCTGTCTAATAATACAATATAATTACTTAACCTGCTGCTGTTATGATAGTATGAGCAAGAACTGTATCAGAGGTAAGTAACCTTCAGCATTTGCTGAAACGTATGGACAGACTAGATTAGGAAGCTGCTTTCCAAGGTAACCTTACTACATAATGTAGAAGTTGAAGCTCAGCAGATGATGTAGATTATCATTTAAAAATACATCAAACTGATTTCTACAAACTATTATGTCAATAGCTGCTATGCCAGAGAGAAAATTACATAATAATGAAAATGAAATGACTAACTTTAAATCAAAATAAAACAAAACTATATTTTGTCTGTGGCATAGATTGCACAAATACCCCAAGAAATACCAAGAAAAAAAAAGACAAAACAAGGGGTTCAACTTCAAATTAAACTCTACCTGTAAATCCTTGACCATTAAGCATTTAAATAAAAAAATAAAATAAAATAAAACCACAGAAAAATGCAAATACTATATCTGCAGTAATTAGTTACACTTGAAAAAAATAAATAAAAGAACTAAAACCATAATCAAAAGATTTAAAAAATCATCCAAATATTATTTAGCTACGACTAAACTGCAACACAATTAGTTTTACAAAATACAGTGACATTATTCTTTTTTAGACTAACTGGGTCCTCACGATGATGTTTTTCATTCAAAGTAAACAGGTCATTGTCACTATCAGATGACTGGCCACTATCTAATAATGCATGCAGTGGCACAGAATAACAGACTGTGTTGGAGCATGCGGACAGTCTGTATTACTATGGTGTGTGCAGCATTGACAGAATCATGCTGGAATAAATCTGCTGTTCATTTAAACAAGGATCTGAGCCGGTCTTTTATTAGAAGGCTACTTACTTACGTTCACTGTAAATACATAAAACAAAAAGTAGTTAATATGAGTAAACACATAAGCATATTGCCATAGCTCATAAACAAACATACCAATACACAATACAATTCATGGCCCAAGTTTTAAGGCTGCTGTAAAAACCTAATTCCCTTTGTTGAGGTATTACTGCTAACAGTTTTAAAATGCACACAAGCGCGCACACGCGCACGGCTCGCTCTCTGTCTTCCTGGTGAGGACACACAGCTCCGACTTCTAAGAAGACCTGTGTGTGAAAGGTGATTATATTCTGGCTGCTGTTTATCTTTTGACATGGGGCAGAGGCAGGCTGCTGTCTTCACAGATAATGGACCTCTGACTGCTGCTGATCTCAGATGACTAGCCCGCCACTGATAAAGACTCTTTCTCCCCCTCTAAGTGACGACTATGCAAGACGTCCACTACGCAGGCTGAACATTTCAAAGAACAGCCTCTCTGTGGTGTTAGAGGTATTATACAAGCTCATCTAAAGTTTGTTTGTCAGAGGACAGTTCACCTCAAAAGGGTTTAAAACTAAACTTGTGTGTGTATATGCTGTTATTATATGACAATAAGTCACTAAACAAAGTAGTGTTACCCTGTGCTGTACGTGGTCAAAAGCCTGTGGATTTTAGGCATGTTAAGGGATCAAATAACTACCTTAAAATGTTTATGAAATCATTTGAAAAAACTGGGATAAAACAAGGGGGAAAAAATTAACATTTTTACAGTATTGATACAGAACTTCTCAATTCCCAGCTCAATGGCAGGGACTTTTCTGTAGTGCTTTACTTTCTTGTGATCACTTTCTTTCAATACTCAAATTATTATTACATAATTAATATATATTATCACATATTATTATTAACAATAAATAATAAAATAGTTTTATCTTCCTCTTCTTCCCCCAATAATAAACATATTGTTATTATGATAATTATTGTCTTAGTGGTATGTAAGGAATTTTTAATGTGTATTTAATGTGGTGAAAGTGGACCTGTTGTATGGCAAGAGGAAGCGTAAAGAGAAACATCACAGTAATATAAATATATAATTTTTTATTTCATCTTATGTCATTAAACCGGATATGTTTAGCCTGAATAAGGAAATGTCTTATGGTATGTATCACACACATACATTTTATCCACATTATAAGTAGTTAATGATGGAAGCATCAACATAAACAAGATAATCAGAGTTTGTCTCCATCTAGCGGTCAAATCTGGTCAGTGCGTCTCAGTCTTTAGTAAAAATGACGCTCCGGTTTTAGAGTAGGCCTTCCATAAAGCAGACTTTTGTTTAAAAATAGAAACCACAAAGATTAGACAGAAAAGGTCTCACCTTATTATTATTGCTGCGCTAATATAATATATTATTATTATTAGTAGTAGTATTTTGTAGCTACTTGGTTGCTATAGAAACAGTACACAGACGCACTGGAGAAAATGCGGCTGCCTTTACTGGAGTTTGACAACCGAAATTAGCTAATGCTAAGTGATTTGTGCTAAGGATGTGTGATAAGAAAAAAGTGTGCCAGTAAGTCTTTTCGATGTTTTTCCAGCTTACAAGTTTCTTCGTGTGGAATCAACTTCTGACCCTTCTGATATAGAACTGTTGCTGTCAGTGACTTGCAGCAGCACTAGGTAAGCTAAAGCGGTATTTCATTGATTTTGAACAAAAGTCTGTAGCTACAATCACTCAAGTGTCTTCAGAGAGCATGATACTTCTTTATGTGGTACATTTTGGAATTTGCAGGGCTTAATATTACGAGTGTGTGGTGGCCCTACAGCTATGAAGCTGAAAAACATCCACATATCTCAGTAGATAACGTCCTAATGTAACTACTGTGTCATTCAGTGTCAATGGGGCAGCTCCAGGGTTTGTCTTTAAATGACATCACTAAAGTCTGCCTTTCTGCTCAGAAGACTTTTTCAAGATCACAATTTAAAACAACAAATACAGTTTTAGCTGTTTAAAACACTTTTTTAAAGTTACACCTTAGAACTTTACATTATGATATATTATTAAGGTAAAATCTAGGAACTGTGGGTAATGTCTTTTTGGGTGTCTTTGGGGTTCCAGATGGACCCCTCCTCTAGCAAGGGACTATGGAACAACCCCAGAGCCACCCAGTACAGCAAGGAGACCCAGGACCTGCTGAGATGTGAGATGATGCACTTATTTGTTTTATGGTGTGTCTGGTAGGGTGTGTATGCATAACACTGCGTAGGACTGTGATGTGTATTTTCATCATGCTCTCTTTCTCATGCTCAGTAATGATGCAAGAGTCAAGGCTCACCAACCTCCAAAGAAAACAGATCAACGAATGCCTGAAGAGTAAGTCTGAGGTCTTTGGATGAGGGGCTGGGAGAATGAAATTCTCACCATAAGTCATGATTGCAACACTTAGCACATATTGTTAAAATAACATATTGTGGTTCAAAGATTTTATAATAATTGGGGCTTTCGGGTGACCCCTGTAATGAACTGTCAACTAGACACACATTTGCAATTTTCTAATTAAAATAAACTAGCGCCTGCTGCTGCAGCATTACTTCCAAACACACAGTTTGAAACATTCATCATTACTACATTAAATTTTCTCACATTAGAAACTGTTCTGGGCACCTTTCCCTCCACAGATGGAGCAGCTTTGCCTCTGATCTCTGACTCCACATCGTCACTTTCTCCCTGTCAGCCTAAAAAGAGTAAATCTGTCCAGAACCTCCTGCCAGGCAAGCCACAGAGACGCACCGCCGAATCTTGTCGTTCAGGGAACAGCTACGCCAGAGAACAGTTCCGTCCTGGTCCCACACGTATGTTCTGCAATGATGTGTTTTGATAGGGTTATGTTGCAAACTCTTGTAATGTACTGTAGATCTTTCATTGCTACGTTTTTGTTTCGTTTTCTGCACCCTGAATAAGATTGTCTTGTCACTCACTCAATGTCTTTTCCACCCTAGGAGACTTAGAGAAAGAGAAGAGGAGACTCCAAAATATCCTTGCAACTGGACAAGATGAGCCCATACCTGCATCTTCTCCAAATGTTCCTGCATGTCATAACCCAGATGTGTCAGAGGAGAGGGACCACTATCAAGAAGGTGAGGCTCTCTGCAGACTGATGAGATAGAAGAGTTACAGTAACTGTGGCAAACAGGGCGTGTGTTTGCACTGCAACAGAAACATGGTGCATCTGACTCGAGGTGTTTTGTAAAGAACACAAGAAAAGGGTTCAATATAAATCACGTCTGTTTCTGTTAATATCAGCTTAACTGAAATTCTGCTCTGTGCAATACTGCTCGACTCAACATAACCAGTGGTATGTGAATACATTTATATTCATGTTTGCCTCTTTTGCAGTTCTGGATGAGATAGAGGAAAGAAGACGGTTCCTGGCAGATATGGCCTCTCTGGGTCAGGAGAGGCAGTACATCAACATCATCAGCACTGAGATCTCTCAGGTAAGTAACAATTGAGCTTTTTGCTACCTCTGGTATTTTAACTTAATTATTTTATGATTATGTATGTTTAGTGCAGTGGTCTAACAAATATAATTAGGTGCCGATGGACAGAGAAAAGTATATATATTTAGGGCTGACCCCTAATAGTCAAATAGCCAAGAGACCTGTCAGTTGACTGGGACTCTTCTAGTTGAGCCTTTGTTTTTATGTATTACTGTATATCTTATTTTTTGTCAGCCAATGTGCATTACAATAGAAGGTAGCCCAGCTGGTAGTTGTCTTCTTCTCCTCATTTTGGTGCCAAGCAGCACTTTGCTCAATACGTCTCCCTGTGGTCAGGGTGAAATATCCACTTCAGTGGTGACACAGTCATTGATGTGCATTAAGGTTGGATCTATTTAGCCACTTGTAGAATGAGGAGAAAAGGACAGCAAAACCCACTAAGATAAACCACAGTAAGGTGAGATTTGTACTTTATTAGAAATGTTTTCAAACATCGTGGTCCACCTTCACGATGTGGCTGCTTTTGCATGGCCTAATGTTAGGCAAGTCCGGTTTGTTTGCTCACCTCCGTTGAAGTGCAACGCACAGCCATTTGCTGGCTGTTTCTGCCACATGCCTCCATCTGAACGTGACTAGGAAACTAACAAAAACATGTGGGGAAAACGTTTCATTGAGGAATTATAAACAAGAGGAATCATTCGAAGTGCGGCCTGTCACATAAAAAATTACCGACAAGAGCACTGTTTCAACAGAAATACAAGTGTGCTGCCTATTTCGTTATTCTGACAAATCCATATGGCAACCCGGCGTTATATATTGTCAGTTTAAATAGGTCACAGTTTAAATCTTGCATCATATGCAGCTGTTGTTGATTTTTAAATGCTCAGAAATATGTTCCTTTCAATCTTTTGCATTTAAATACTGATGTTAATGTGGTTGAAATCATCACTGAAATTCATGCCAGCTGATTTTCTGACAGTCTAGGCTATATGTAAAAAGAATAAATATTCAAATAGTCATACTGAAGAGCTGACTGACAAAATCCTTATTCAGGTACAGCCCTGTTAGTATTTATTCTCTGTGATACAGTTGTGCTTAAACCTGTGCTGTGTCACACCTTCAGAAAATGAGAGAACTGGAGGTGCTGGACAAGGCCCGCCATCCCAGCAAGGATACGCTGGCTCCCAAGGCAAGTGCAAAACAGATGACAGAAAATGTGGACCTGAAAGACGGCAGCAGTGACGTCTGACCACTGCCACTGAAGGAATAACCAGCCAACACAGACTCCTATGACAGGTTCACATTATAAGCACGTGATAAAATAAAAATGATCTTTAAATTTACAACAACAGATTAACTGCTTGCATTAACTTATTTTATTGCTCTGCCCTCCACTGTCAGTATTTCATGTAGCCCTGCTGCTGTTTTAGGACGATGTGTTCAGCACTACAGAAGCCCTTGGTTTCAGCTGGACAGGAAGACAGGCACCGAGCATAAACACAACAGAGAATGCCATTTAAATGGAGGGCAAATAGAAAATTTAAATGACAAAACAGGAACAGAACGAGTTAACAGTGCAGACATTTACATTAGCTCAGACAAATCATTTACATGTACAGTTAAATAAATGGCACTCATGCATCTCAATATTACCACGTTTTTAAAGCAGAACACAAACATACAGAAAGGTGTAGCAAAATGTTTTCCCAACTGGTTAAAACAGTTATGAATTGTAAAAGTTGGTATATTGCCTTATGTAATATTATTGCTTTTTGATCTTTCGTATTAATAAAACCTACTGCTCTCCAGCGGACCTCTTTTCTGAGTCACTGTCACACCCACTTATAAATAGTTTGATCCACAATGCTAGTTGATATGCATTTACACAAATGATCACTGAAGAAACCACAAAGTCAGACAACAGAAGCTGGAGGAGCTGTTGACTGAGCATTTCAAGGCAGATGTAAAATGTAAAGCAGGATTCATGTTAAAACAATATTTTACTTTCACAGGCTCAAAACAGACATGACATCCTGTAAAACCGTCTCACTGTCTGTTGGCCTTTGAACACAGAGCAGAACAGACTGAGTCAGGATCAAAGTGAACTGTTATTAAAAACTCATGTCTATCAGAGATAAAATTGCATCCGAGTGGCTTCAAGGTCGACCGAGGAATCGTACCACTGTTGAACCTTGATAAAGGCTTTGAGGGCAGAACGGCTGTGCAATGCAGGGACAGTGAAGCAAGAATATACGACACATCAGTGCAGGAATTTAGAAACCTACGCTACACTTCACTAGCTCTAAAGGTCAGAGAGCTTACAGGTACATCAGCTCTTAAAGCACTTGAGTTATACTGCGCTTCAAAACACAAAGGCAACGAAAAACAGTTGCTGAAGAGACTTTCTGGAAAAGCATCAAGTAAAAAGTGAGCAAGGAGTGAAGTCTGGGTTGCACTTGAAGTCATTAATAATAGTTTGAGGAGACATCTCTTTAGCCTGATGCCAGCCTGATTTATTTTCTCATCCTTCTGTATTCCTTGGTCTTGATAAAACCGTCTCATACGTATGCTCTTGGAGAATGTGTTCAGCTTTTCTCCTTGTGGGGACTGTGGCTCTTGCCTGGTTCTCCCTTATGGCTCAGTCGCTTGAGTACCTTCATGGGCTTGAACTTTGCCCCTTTTTTCTTCTGCTCGTCGCTGCCTGGGTCCTTATGGAAGTCTGAGAGGGGAGAAGATTGGTGAGAAAATGTACTGTAAGGTTTGTTGGAACAGGGAATGCAACTGTTTATCCATAGAGATGCACAGATTGCAATTTTCTGATTTATTTTCAGAATTATTTTCATTTAGTCTGACCTTTGTATCCAATTTTGGCCGATCAGTCTGAAAACTGGCCATTTTCGATCTTCGAGAATCAATTGGAGCATCTCTGTTTATCTGCTCATCATCCTCACTACTAAAGGACCAATTTATTGTCCTTTTCCTGTATATAATGTCAATCCTGATTGCACACACACAAATTATGTGTGTAAAAAATTTACTGTGCGTAGCACACAAGATACAAACTAACAGTAGGTTGTAGAAGTCATAGTGCCTGGCAAGTAAATTCCTATGTACCTTTTTAACTAAGAATCTACATTTAAGAATTAAAGATCCACATAAGTTCTAAAATCAGAAGAGAAGGAAAGAAGAGCGACATTTTCTCTTTCATGGATGTACTGATCTAAACAGTCTTACAAATGAAGGATACTCCTCATCCTACCTTTCTTCTTCAGCATGGCTTCCATAAGTTTATCCTCCTCTTCTTCCCTGTCACAGAGCAGCTGTTAGATGGCTGGTGTTGGTGCATGTTAATACAGTCTCAGAGATATACCAACTGCCAGCTATCGATTACCTCTGCCTGTCCTGGTCCATGGTGTTGACTATTTGGTTGCGTTGTTCAATGACGGTCACCAGCTCAGCCATTAGCTCCTGTTCTCTGCTCTTATCCTCCTCCGTCCAGTCTTTCTCTGATAAAGGAAGGAAGGACAATAAAAAAAAAAATTAAGTTTGGCTTTCCTTCATATGTGTGACATCTTAAAGAAAATATTAAGCAAAAGGACTTCAGAAGGTTTATAAACTACCAAAGGACCAGTAGTGCAGCAGTAAGCATACACATCAGATCTCATCTACCATCCTGTCAGGACAGATAGTCACTACTCTTCTGCTAACTAGTGTTTAGCTCCACTACTCATATTTATATGTACTGATGCTGATGTCATAAAAATGAGCTCGTACATGTGACTGGGCACAAACTAAAAAAGATACTTCATTTTTTTTATGATTTAAAATGAAGAATAGTCAAACACCAGCGTATGAAAAATGTACTTGAGAGCTAAGGGCCCTGTTGACAACATAAAAGCAATATTGTAGAATATAATAGCAAAATAAAAGTTAAACCTATGGAAAAATATCTGATACCAAGTTTAATTAAACAATTGTGCTGTGGAGCCACTGGCATTAAATTTCAGTTTTTTTCAGATAGAAGATTATAGTGGTTCTTATTTTATGTCATCTCTATGTAAACACTGGGAGTAAACAGACAGGAAGAAGTGTCTGTGGTCAGTACAGTTTCAAAAGAAAACTTTGCACAAATTTATACAGTACACCCAGATATATAGTAACCAGGTCACTACAGTGCATGTAAACCTGGTTTCTCTGAGTAATCTGGTTCCATAAACATAGTGAACACCTCAGACAAACCTGGCTTGTTGAGAATACACCTCAGCTCATACTCCACATCAGCTTGCCTCTCTTCCAGGTTCTGCTGCTTTGCCCTGCAGTGAACAACATACACACAGCTTGTTAACTGGAAACCTCCAAATTAGCATGAGCTACTTCCTCAAAGTATTTTTGCAGGAAGTGTGTGGGGGAGACAGGCATGACAGGGAAAACCCATTATCCTTCCATTTTACAAGACTTAAATTTGTAATTCTGTAGCAATACTTAAAAAAAAATATTGTGCATATAATGTATGAAGTGTGACTGCATCCTTAAAATTTGGATTATATTCCGTGTGGTTTTTTTTTGTTGCTGTTAACATTTAGATATTAAAAATAAATGAATGTCACTTTCAGCTTTTTCCCGTTAGGGATCGTCACACTGATGATTTGCATGTTGACATTTGGCACGTGTTTAACGCCGGATGCCCTTCCCGATGCAACCCTGACTCGAACTCAGGCCGCAGCCACTAGTCTATCAGGGAACTCTAGATATTAAAAATATTTCCAGTTAGCTTTGTTTCAGAAAATTTTTAAAACTTTCCTGCAGCATAATCCACTTCTCCACTGTTTGCGTCCTAGTAACAGGACTAACTGTCATGATGTCAGGTTATATGAATGTTGGGCACCAAGGTCCTATGACTGAAGCATCTGCCTCTTTCTGCAGTCTGAAACTTACGTGTAGACCAGCTCAGCTTCTCGCCTGACTAAAAGGTGTTTGTCGTGGATCAGAGTGAACCAGTCCACCAACAGGCGCTCCTCATCCTCATCTGTAATCACAACAAAGGAACAGAAACATGTATACATAACATTTCTATTATTGTTTAGTGTTCTTTTAGACAAAATTCAGCCTTTTTTTGCTGCTGGAGTCACAGTTTGTGAGCTTTATGTTGGTAATCTTTCAATTTTCAGTCTTCCAACTTTCTTGGCTGCAGCATGTGGGAACAATTTATTTTTGTTGTATAATGAGTAGGTTTACTCTGAATTGTTACATATTATAATGATGAGTTTCAGTTGATTTAAGTGTTACTCAGACAACTTCCTTAAAAGCATTGCAGTGTGCTACCGTTAGGGTTATCTCTCAGCTTCTTCTCCAGCTCCACTCCCCTCTGCTCCAGCTCGTCCAGCTGTTTCTCCAGCTGACTCATCTCCCCGTGGATATCCTCTACTGGAATGTACTGATCTGACTGCACCTGGACAGGATGGACCATTTGAGCACTTTTTGTGTTGGTGAACACACTGAAACATAGTGTTTAGTTTTTGTTTTTTTTACCTTGCGTTTGATAAGTGGGAAGCCATGGCCAGGGGCCGGGGGTCTGGCAGGACGAGGGCCTTTTGTTGGTCTCGTGTTGGATTTAGCAGGAGAGGGAGAAGCTTTCCTGTTGAATGGGTTCTCCTTACAGATCCGCTAAAATTAGAAAAGAGACATTGCTGGACTATAATATGCAAAAAGTATTTCTATTGGATTTTATTTGGGGGCTACACTATTACCTTATTGTGCAATTCAGTGGTCCCTGTTGCCAGTGGACTGGGGGCTGCTGGGGGTCGTGGAGGAGGGGCTCTGGCCCATCTGGTCTCTGAGCTACGACTGGTCTGTGGGGTGGCTGGAGCTGAGCTGGCATTTGATGGTAAGGGAGAGGGGTAGGGGCTTGGGGAAGGATGAGGCAGATGCTCGGTCGATAAGGAAGGGGAGGCCCCAGAGATGGAAGGCTCTGAGATGCTTTTGGTAAATGCATGTTCCTGGTCACTGCTGGCATTGGCACACAAGGGTGGCTGGGAGGAGCTGTGGTCTGAGCAAGAGGAAAGACTGTCTGTGCTGAGAGCTGGAGAGGGCGAGCAAGAGGAGGGCTGAGAATGAGGGAGAACTGAAGAGGAAAGAAGATTTAGCAAATATCAAGCACAGACAGAGCAGAAATGAAACAGGAAAAAGGAAAAGGAAGAACAGGAAAAGAATAAAAACAATGAACATCTACCTCCCTCTCTCATTCTAGTTCATCAGTATTTGGATACAGGCATTTGTTGGTCTATTAGCTCTGTAGTCCAACCTTACACTCATTATTCTGTATTAAAAGTAACTGTCGGGTACATTGTTATTAAGAAAGAATACACAGATGAACCCAGCAGATGTGAAGGACCTGGTAGGCCACAGAGGCCTCGTGTAGTGGTTGACGAGCCATTGTAGAAAATTCCCAGCACAACCACAACACGCATAATCTCAAGAATGTGAAGGCCTAACCTGTAATACTCTGAAAAAAACTTTTCCAAATCAGATAAGACGCATAAGCAAATGCATCAACTTTCAGTGGATTATGCAGCAAGACAATAATCCTAAACTTAGAGCAAAAACAATTATTGACTGGCTGAGGTAGCCATATGACCTCAGTATAATACAACAGGTCATTGAACTATATATTTTTATGTTTACCTTAATTTTTCCAATTATATTTGATCCAATAAACTATAAAGTGGCTAACTACTAGTGAAATGCTACAAACAATGACTTCTTTTTTCAGTAAATGTCCAGAAACTGCTCGATTAACATGCAGGGGCCATGTTGGGAGCTGCAGCGTGAGCAGGTGCATGTCCTCACCCAAAAATAAACACATTTCAACCTCATCACTTAAAAAGGTAATTTTACACTGGCAAATATTCACATCTACACAGAGTACAGACTGACTTTGGAGGGTGGTATCAGACTAGGATAAAATTTACAGTCTTATGCAAAAGTTTAGGCACCCCTTGATAAATAACAGATTTTGGTGATTTTTTATTTGAACAGATGTTAACACAGTTTCTCTTGGAAATGGAAAAAATGCACAATATTTTCAGCAAACAGTGATGCATAGTTACTTCTTATGCCATAAATTGAACAAAAATAAAAAATAAAAACATTATTATGGCATGGTGCAAAAGTTTGGGCACCCTAAGAGTTCCAGAGTCTCAAAGTCTCTCACAAGGTATCAGACCTGCTCTCTGCACCCCATTCCTGTATAAAATGACAGCAGCTATGCAGGGACAGCACAGTGAGAATACTATCGGATATTTGTAAAATGCAAGTTCAGTGTTGCAACTAGCTTATGGTTGTTATTGTGATAAAACTGATGCCGGTTACCGGCAGGTGGCTGCGGTGCTGATGGTGCCGGACGTTTCTTGCTCTTTCCACTCCCAGGGCTGGCGGAGCAGGATGAGATTCCTTCGCTGGGCTGACTGCCTGCGCCTGTCGTGTCAGCTGCCCGAGTGATGCTGTACCACGGATGGCTAACAGCCACTGTGGCTGGAATCGCACCTCCTTCACTCCCCTCTTCTCCCTCTACCTCATTATTTTCATCATCCTCCTCCTCAAATGGGTTGGAGGGCGGAGGGGGTGTACTGGGTCTGGAGCCCTCCCCTTCGAGAGAGGACAGAGAGCCTGTATTGGGAGGGGTTGCCAGTTTGCCAGGGGGAGGGGGAGGGGCTTTCTTCTTCTTGGATTCTGATTGGACCAGGGCAAGCCAAGGTGGATCTTTGGGTTTATGGGTGCCACTGGACAGGCTGGACAGTGAGACACACAGATAGGGGTGGAAGGGTCACAGAGGGGAAGACAACAAAACACAGCCAACTGGAAGCATGGAGGAGCACACACCAACAGTACACACTGTAGCTCGATGTCATTCAGAAGTTAGACTGATTATATGACTGAGGTGAAATGGAAGAAACAAAGGAAAAGAAGCATTTGACAAACCCAGCTACCTTCCAGGAGACTGTGATCTTTCTCGAGGTTTGGGAGCAGTTGGAGACTCCTGAGGTTCACCTGTGATTTCAGGTAAAATGTGAGGATGAATATTAATAAGTGTTGTATTTACCTTAATAATATGATATGCTCTGCAATAAGTACACACCAACTGCAAGGTCGTCTGATGTACAAGGCAGCCGAACCCGGGGGGCGGGGCGTGGAGGAGGTGTGGGTTCAGAAACTCTGCGGGGTGCCGGCACCGGTCGGCTGGCATCTTCCTGATGACTGACCATTGTAGAAGGGAGGTCCCCATTGGCTGTACATTTGTCTGGTGTTTGAGTGTCTTCCTCTTTCTCTCGCTCTTTTTCTTCTTCATCACTCTCATCAAAAGGGTTGGGAGGAGAAGAACAACGTGGTTCCTCCTCTACCTCCCCATTGCCATCTCTCTCTTTTGATTCTTCCAAAGAGTCTGGCTTATTTGTCATAACAAGTGTGGCTGTGACAGAGTCACTGGCGGGCATGTCGTTTGTTTGGCTTCCTGGGGGAGTCGTCGTTGTCTGGTCCCTCTCAGAGAGCGGGGTGTGAGAAATTGTATTGTCATCAATCCTGGCAGACTGAACTGTCGCTGGTCTCTTGCTAAGATCTGGTTGGCCGTTCTGATTGGCTAACACATGCCTTGTAAGGTGATGCGTACAGACCAATGCACCAGAGTTGCTTCCTAATTTGTAGGATCCAGGAAGCAGAGTACTGCGACACTCTGTGCACCTGAGACAACAGTGACACAGTCGGACAGTAAGATTTTCACTGGGCCTTGTTAATGACTCAGATAAAGTTACAAACAATCACAGAATTTCATTGTTTGATATGTAAAAAAAATCCAACTAATTATTGTTCTTTAAATTATAATCCTCTTCATGAAACAATACCCCAATTTTCTTCTCACCAATACCATTTTTATATGAAATTCAAATTGCCTACCTGTGCAGAAGGAATTCACAGGTAACGAGGCATGCATGTACTAATAATGTCAAAGGAACATTTCCTGCTGCTGCTAGCTCACATTGAAAGCACCACAGGTAACACAGTGGAGCTTATAGCCATTGCCAAAATCAACCAAGACTAAAATCTAAAGGATTATAACTTTAAGAAACTGAAAACAGCATCTACTTTCACTGTTTTTTTATGTTTGGACTGAACAGCATTTCTCACTCATAGCTAAATGAAGTCTGCATAACACACAGTGGTCAGTAGCCATAACTGCAGTGTTCACCTGAAACAGTTGCGATGGTAGAGCTTGCCATCCACCAGAAACCTCTGCACCAGGTGGACGTGTTTCTGGCAGGCGGCGCAGGTGCTGCTGAGCGTGCTGCACTTGACTGCTGCGACCTCTGCCACTCCAGTCTGTGTGAGCTGGCTCGGCTAGCGCAAGCGACCGAGATGGTTTTCACAGGGAGGAGACATGTGGGGAAGGGGGGGGAGATGGATTGTAATGGGGGAGGGGGAGATCAAACATGTAGTCAGGATTTGAGGATGGATTGTTCAGTTTGTTTAGCTAGCCACATCTGCCCAGTTACTGCAACACCTACTGCTTGAGTCACATAGTTCATTTCTGCATTTCTTCTTCAGTTTAAAACATCATGTGATTAACACAAAAATGTAAACAGTTTGGGTTACTGGCTGTGGGAGTCATATTTGGGATATGACCGATACATTATTTGTAGGCAGGTGTTTTTTGTGTTAAGTAAATAAAGTGGTTAGAAGCTGCATATTCAAAAACTTGGCACACAGTGTTAGGATAGTTCAGTTGTTAGTCTTTTATGTCAAAAGACAAGTTAAAAAAAAAAAAAAAAAAAAGACTAACCCAACTGGTCTGATTTCACATTCTAGCCCACCCCCACCCCCCTTCCTACTGCCTAGGCTCAGGACCAGAGAGTGGAGGGGGTATCAGATGTGATGAGGAAGAAGAACAGGAAGAGGAGGGAGTGGAATGGATTTCCATCTGAACAGGGTTGAAATTGAGGAGGATGCCAGTACATGGGAACATGAGGATGGAGGAAAAAGTTGAAGGCATGCGAAAGAAAAGAGAGACAGGATACAGAGGCTATCTTTATAGACTTACTCTACCTCTGAGGCTTGGTTTTTCCCCTGCTGTGCAACACAAAGCCCACACAAGGAAGAACTAAATGTAGAGTGGATATTGTACATTGTTGTATGGAAAGATGGAATTTGTATTGCACAGACCTGATGAGTTAATACCCCCAAAGAGCACAAGCAAAATTACACTTTTAGGTTTCAGGCCAATATACTACCAAAAAATATGTTTCACTGTGCTTATCCAAGCCTCAACAGGACACCAACATAAAAAATACAGCTCTGGTAGATGCTTACACTGTATCAGTGTTAGTTATGTCACTAAACCTCGAGTCCGAGTTGAGTCTCGAGTCCAAAGTGTTCTAGTCCAAGTCAAGTCAGAGTCACCAAAGAATAATCCGAGTCGAGTCAGAGTCTTCAAGGTCTACATTAAACACAATTGACAGAGTTCTCACTGTTTTATATTCCAAACTTTCTAAAACTGTACTGCATCACCATATTGCTTGGCAATTTATATACATTCATTCATTCATTCATTTTCACAACATAATCCACACAAAGAGGTGGAGTGTACCGGATACAACATGCTGTGGGTGAACCAGTTTGTACTAATATCTTATGGGACAACCCATGCATGAGGACAAGTACTGTTTATCCCTACTCCTTCTGCTGGTGCCAAGTCTTCTTACCTCAGTCTCAACCACACTGTCTTCCAAAGGAGCTGGAGGCCTTTTTAGGGGCAGCTCATTATGACCAACACTACTCAGCCTCTTAATGCAAGGGGGGTTTGCTGTGCAGGACGAAAAAGAGAAAGTTAATGACAGAAACTAATGGTGTATTTTAAGTTAAGGGGGGTGAACAGTTTAAATTTCCTTGAAATCACGATTAGCTGAGAAGTACACTAAAATAGATTTTTTGTAAACTGTAGTGTTCTTTAAGTAAATTAATGAATATACCTGTAAAACGTATGTTTAAAAATGTACTGGTCCTATAATATAAAATCTAAATATTGTCTTTTATGGAGTTTGCACTGCTGCAAGTCAAATGTGGTGGAATGTAGTGCTCCAACCTTGAGATTTGTTGTTGAAGAAGTTGTAATACTGGGAGACGTAGGTGATGATGCTGAGCCGGTCAGGCACTTTCATAGACACCATGTCTTCTGGATCCAACAGGGCTGGAATCCCCAGCTGTGTCTCTGCCACTTCGAACGCCTATGGTGAGGCAAAGACAGAGAAGGCAGGTAGTTAAGAGAGGTAGAAAGGGAGGAGATGTCAGACATAAGTAGGACAATTCCAATAATGCAATTATAACTAAAAGCAATGATCCCATTATTACAACTGTTCTATTGTCACTTTAACCAGATGGACCAACTCGTATTAGGATCAGAAACACTAAGCACAACTCACCTAACATACCTGAATTATGCATAATGAATTATGAATACTGATTTTCACATTTTAGTCTGATTTCCCTCAGTGTTTATGAGGCTAATTCTTTGGTATAAAGAACTTAGAAAGGAAAATGTTGACATCGTTTCCGTATGACTTTGTGATGCTTTGAGCAGGACAAAGTTCCATTTACCTTCACTGTACTGGTGCGGCAGGAGAAATCTGAGATACGGTTATCTCATTCCCCTGCAAATCAAACTGAACCTATATGCAGAGCAACATACCACTACAAGCAAATTAAAGTTGTTTTTAAGTCATTTAGGCGAACCTACATTTTACCTAGACTATCAAAGTTAGATTACTGCTTGCTATGAAAAAGTTACATTCCAACTTAAGCCTTAAATCAGAATATTCACAGAAACCCAGTTATTTGTTTCCATGTAAACACAGAGAAACTGAGGGCAGAATGTCTTTGTTGCAAACAAAGCAAGATGCTTTGGCATATTTCACCAAGCAGCAGATATCTGATGCCCTGAATAATGAAACGCTGCTGGCAAAACATCAGTCATTTGCTTATAATGTGACAGCCTGTCCTTTCAGGATAACCGTGGCTCTAATTAAACATTCCACTGAAGAAATGAGAGTGCACATAAGGTTGCATAAGAACACAGATACAATCACTGGCAGTTACACAACACTGACATAATCCAGCCAGCCAATGCTACAAATGGACCAAGTGGAACTGAACTTAAATTCATCCAAATGCTGTGCTCCAATGCACAAAATCTGCTGTATAGCTAAGTGGTTGTCACTTGTTAGTTCCATCTACCTACTCTTTTCATATATATCCTAGCGCTTTCCCTAGGTCTTCAGACAGCTCTGGCACTTTTATTTCCATGCATGCGTGTTAAAATATTCAAAGAAAAATCTAACTTAGCTACGTAACACCCCCAGCTCCTCTGAGCCTATTAGCTCCAACACAGGTTGAGGCAGTGGCCTGTTGAACACCAGAGACGCTGCTGCTCTTGGTCGCAATGACTGGCTCTGATGTGGTGCTGTTGTAAATACTATGGGATCAGCATTAGCTATGTTGTTTTCGTCTGTTCTCAGTAATGTTAATAGTGGTAGGATTTTGGTCTTTGAACTTGGCTTGTTAACTGCGGAAACTGCGGACTACAACGCAAAAGATGGAAAGATGACGGACTTTTGTGATCATTTGTGTGTACACTATCTCACAGAATGTGCAACATTGCCATCACTGATGTGAAATCCGAGATGGTTTTATCAGTGACAACTTCTCGCTCTGGAGTTGTTATTTTTAATTTTAATATCACAACTTGGACTATTTCATTTGTTTTCATTGGTTCTCTTGCAGGGCTCAGGCTTTACCAATGATTGGCTCTTCAAGCGCTCACAAAAATGTAACCTTACATGAGTTTCAACCAGATTATACAATTATTCTTTTTCCTTTCTTGGACAGAGAAAAAAGTGGCAAAATACACTTTCTCTTATGAAATCAACTTGCAAAGACTGAAACAGCAATGCCGTTTAAATCGATCGTGTCACTTGAACTTGCCTTCATGTCAGACCCTCTGCTAAAAAGCCATTTACAGTAAATTAGGGATGGGACTTTATTTTAATGTGAGTGACAGCTAAGAAATAAGAAAGCAAAACCTTATGGGTAGGTGAACAATAATGTGACCATATGGAGGGAAGAGAAACTGACACAGTAACTTTATTTGCTTCCGACACAGTATAATATAATTCAGTGTAAATGTGTATGATCAACTACATTTGCACGCTCAAACATGGGCAGATTCAGCACACTCTCAGCTCCTGTATGAAAAGGTCATCAGAAGAGTAATCCAAGGAGGGACACAACCATGAGCTCACAGCTGCTTCTTAGAAGAGCTGCCTGTTCTTTACATTTACAGTCATAGATTACTCACTTGGGGTTAGGCCTTGTATTTGCTGCACTGAAAGTAAAGGGGCTGAATAATTTTGCACGCCCAATTTTTCAGTTTTTTATTTGTTAAAAAAGTTTGAAATATCCAATAAATTTCATTCCACTTCATGATTGTGTCCCACTTGTTGTTGATTCTTCAGAAAAAATTACAGTTTTATATCTTTATGTTTGAAGCCTGAAATGTGGCAAAAGGTCGCAAAGTTCAAGGGGGCCGAATACTTTCACAAGGCACTGTAGGTCCTGTGAAGTACTTGATTCATTTATTAAAATAACAATGAGAACCAGTACAATGGGAGTTTGTTTCTGTTGCCTCACCTTCCCTGAAAGCTACTGGATAAAAAGAATGTAAACAGTGACAAAGCTTAGCTCAATCTGAACATGAACATCCCTCAATGTTCTGGTGGCTAACAGAACAGACAATGTGGAAAAAACCAACAAGGAATATACAGTATAATAAAACTGTTCTTGGATTCAGTGAAGTTGTAATATTAAGCTTCAAATTCAGCACTTTTGCACTTAAAATCCCCTTTACATGGTCTCTCCACAGGCTGGTGCCAAGAATTCTCTTTTTCTTTGACCCTGAACATTCTGGTTTCCTCCCACTCCCCCTTTCCCTGGTCAGGCTCAATCATAACTAAGTAACACTTCACTCTACACAGACAGTCAAATACGCTGAAGTCACATTCAGCATGACTGCACACAAATTTATTGCTGAATGAAACAAACCTGATGCAACACCTGAAGCTGGGTGACATAATGACAACATACTCGCCCTCCTTTCAAGAGCAAAAAGCCACAACACAAGATCAGAGGATCAAAACAGACACCTGGAAAATGGACTCACCAGTTGGTTGTTCTCATAGACATTCTCTTTGGACAGCGAGGCAAAGTCTCTGGAATGACAAGGGGGAAAAAATGTTGACATTCAAATCAACATCTGAGATAAAGTTGACCTTGTAGGTAGCCACTAGCCCGTGTAGAGTTATATAGCCTGCAACAACTGCAAATCTTTTTAGGCCATGGCTCTTATCATAAAAAATAAGTAGTCGTGGTAGTACAGAACACTGCTTTATACCACAGATAATTCTGGATATCAAACTTTAATACTTTTATGGCATCAATCAAATTACTTCAATACCATCGAGTACTGAAAAACTCTTTTCTACATTTTTAATTTATTAATGTTAACAGAACTTAAGATTGTGGTAAATTAGGTTTACTTTTTATGTTGTACAAAAAATAGTTTTGAGTGTACAAAAATGCCAAGGAATTGAAAAATAAATCACACACACACTTCAAAATGATTTTATAAAATCGGTATAAAAAAAAAAAAAAGTATTTTTTATGAATTGGTATCGAGTTCAAGGTATGGGTGTCAATACCAGTATCAAACATTTTGGAATGATGCTCAGCACAAACCACAGATGACAACTGTTCCCAAGGTATACATAAATGCTGCCAAGGCAAACGGAGAGAAGCAACTGCACTAAAAAGTGATAGGCCAATAATTACCAGGCCCTGCTCTGAAATGCCTGGAGTGAAGAACTGAAGCCAGGCTCTTACCAGTAAACATGCTGCAGTAAAACTGGAAAATGTTTGAGGTGTTCTGAAATGAAAGTGAAGTTGTGCTTGTGCGCTTAAGTAAATGTGCAGTAGTTAGCACAACAGCACAGCAGGAAAAAAAAATGCAGCAACCTTGGTGCTAGCTTGTGGTGACCATGTGGAACTCTTGAGCAGGAAAACCCCTGTGAATGAGCTCTGTGTTGGAGCCACACAAAGTGACCTCTGTTCGCTCTAATCTGGTTCCCATGGTCATACACAGCAGCTCTAATATCAAGACCATGTTTAAAAAAAAAACGCTGTGTCAAGTCGACCAACATAGCCAGATGAAACTGCAGCAACTTAAAATCTGCTCCCAAAAGTGTCGGTAAAAGTTGAAACAGTCAAGCTTCAAAGAAAAGACAGTGCCAGCTGACACTAACACAGATGAAGGACTGCAGTGTGCAATCCGAATTGAAAACCTAATCCACTGTGACTCAAAGTCTCACTCCAAGGTTTATTTTGGGAAAGGGGACTGCTGAGGAAAAGTGTGTCTGTGTGTGTCAGGCATTTAAACATCCACATGATCAAAACCTGGGTGAACCAGTAGGTCTGCTAAATCCTGTTCAGTCAGATGGAAAAGTTTGTGCTGACACAAAGAGAACTGGGATTTGGTGGCGCCATGACAATTACAAATGAAGCTTCTAGACATGTATTAATCAGTAACTTTAGTGAGTGAGACAAAACAAATGTCAACAATACGGATAGGACAAAAAAGATCATACAAAGCTGTCTATGCATGACAAAGTCTGGACATGAGCTGTTTAAAAACACAGTTCTATTTGAATGGAGTTTTTACTGCACTGTGTAATGCACTTTGGATAGCTAGGCCACTGAGTTGATGTCTCTTCTCTGCATCCATGTGATATGCACCGATGAGAAAACATTGGCCACAGAGTACAGAGCAGGGCTACAATGGCGTGTCCCTGCTGCAGAGCTAAATCCAGTTTTAAAGGGAAAGGTTTTATGGCAAGCCATCGAGCTCAGTGGGCTACATGAAACTGAGTTTTAAACAGGGAGATGCTGGGGCGCAAACTCAAGAGGCAGAACTCAAAAACGAGGTGTTCAGGATTTGTCCACTGTTATGCTTTCAGCTTCACTGCTGCACAGTGTATGCACAAACAGGATTGATTCATCCTTTTAGTGAAACTCACTATCCACTGTGGGCGAGCTATCAGCTGTAAATTCATAACTGAGTAAGAGCTTTTCTGTTTTTGGTCTCTACCAAAATAAAACAATGTCATGACTTCCTCCTCACACCCATATGCAGTCATCTTAATCACAATGAAACTCTGGTGCCAGTGTGGTTGTGTTTTGTGGTGTCTTTAGTTGTGTGTGTGTGTGTGACATAGGGCTGGGGTGTTGTTGCAGACAGGGCATGGCTTGTCACTCTGAGCTAGTTACAGCACACTGGTCTCTCTCTCACTGTACAGTCTTAAGAAAAATAGCACTTGTGGTTTGAGCAATAACAATATGCACAGAAACATGCAGTGTTGGGGCATGCAACATAAACGCCATGTGTTTTTGCATGATTATCAAGGGATACTGTTAATAAGGTGCTTTCTATTTAGTTTATTCAAAAAAAAAAAAAGATATGAATGACATGAACTTACATAATCCCAGTTCTCATAAAACTTTTCACAGAATGATCTAGAGCAGATGTGTCCATAATCAAGCTACTAAGTATTTGTATTGACTGGATAAATGTACTCTGCATTATAGTCTGAATACAAGTCTAATAACAGCCGGTCACTCCCTAAAAATGTGTCCACCTTCTCTGGAGCCCGGTGCTATGTCCAAATCCACTTCATCATAGCAGTTACCGTTAACACTATCTTATCTAGCTAGTTTGTATCCGTGTTACATCATGAGACTTAGGTTTACTTACATCAAATCTGGTCTGTGACGATGTATTATGGCACAAAACGCCAAACCATCCCTAAAGGACGTTGACATGTCCTTTATTTTCACATCGTTGTAGCTTTCACACTGTATCCGACACCACTCCTGGAGAGCCTTCAGAGAGCCCATCGTAGTATTGTCACAGAAATATTCTTGTCAAATAAAATCGATGGGTTTTGTCCCAGGCGCGACGACGGCCAGGCAACACCCGATATGGCGATACGTTAACGCTACATTCATTCACAGCCAATGAGTCATTAGCATGGCTTGCTATCTAGATACTAGCTAACTTTTGGAACATTGTGCATTATGCTTCCATATTATCTGGTGAGCGGAGTTGTTCAGACAGCGATGACTGCATCTTCTTAGCTGAACCTTTGACCAGGACCACCGGGTTAAAATGTGCTGACATCCACAGTAGATAACGGTTGCTTGCCAACAAAGTTCTTGACTTAGCCAACTTAACTAACCAACTAGCTAGTTTGATAGCTAAGGTATCCTCCCGTTAGCTCGTGCCTGCAGTTCGCAGAGTTCCTTCTTTTTTGGTGAGTGCTATCACAGTGAAGATTGTCTTTGCCAGTTTCTGGTGATGATGCAGTTTCAGTTGAGACGGAGGTGACAGTTTCCCACTTTAGCTGGACCACAACACGGTTTTTGTTTGTTGGTGCAATGACTGCAACGACTGTTAAAAGAACATACTAGATAGGTCTTATTCCGCGCGAAATTCGTGACGCATTCTTCGTACAACAAGATTAAAACATATCGTAAAAAGCATATCCCGGAAATTAATGTTGATCATAGGTGCGAAGCCATTCTAGCGTTGACTGAAGCAAGCACTAGCAACTGTCTGCCTTGTCTGCCTTCCCCCATCCTGCTGCCCGTCTCAGTGTCACGTCTTCGCATCTCTTTGCCCACAGCTGGGGGAGCTAAAGAGACGCTGCTCCGACGGCTATCTACGCGATATGTTACAAAACCACGCGATAGTGACCATTTAGAATTCCCGAAATATGGCGGCGGTGGACCCTCCGGAAGAAGCTAGTCTGCAGTCTCGCATCAGTAAGTCATCATACATTACGGTGTCAGATTAACTTTTGATCCTGCAAGATATAATATATACATACATATATCTTACATTTGAATTTGCTCCTGTATGTCTGTCCCTACGGAATAGATTTGTTTAGAATCAAGAACTCGAATGTCATGATATCACTAATTGTAGTTGTCGTAACGATAGAGAAGAAACTCTCAGATAATGTATAATCGTTTCTGTAATGCTCTCGCATTTTGCGCTCACATTATGTTTATTGTTGATAGCTTAAGGTCAGCGATGTCACATAGACATGACATTTATAAGAATCCTAGTAATTGCTGGCTGAATGCTAACAAAACAAACTAGTTAGCTGCTGACTATTTGTTAAGGACAATGACAAGCCCAAACCAGGAAACGTTATTTATACCCTTAACACTTGATGTCAAGAAAGGATGTCACACATTTTGTGCGGACACGAGCAGCTCTTTTCATCTGGTGCACACCAAAGAACTGATTGCTTGCATTTTACATGTGACCTACAGCTGCTGACAGGGATTTACAACCCTAGTTTAAAAAGACATAATTTAACTCAGATTTGCTCTTTTAAAATCCCTGCGTAAACTGAACTGTCCTACCTGGGGGATGCTGATGTCACTCTTGAGATGTATAACAGATGCAAACCTATACAGAAAACACAAAATAAACAATGCCAGAAGGCTTGTTTTCTTTCTTTGTGTTGTTTTGTGTCTACTGTGTAACAGTTCACTGGTCAATCTTGTGCTGCCCTCTTGGCCAGGTCACTATTGAAAAAGAAATGTTAATCTCAAGGAGGTTTCACCTGGTTAAATAAAGGATAAATAATTTTCTAATCGTCAGGTTAGTCTGGAAATAGAGCAGATGGAGAATTTTAATGTGTGTTTCTTTTATACAGACAAGGCCACAAACCCTCTGAATAAGGAGACTGACTGGGACAGTATCCAGGGATTTTGTGATCAGCTCAACAATGAACCAGAAGGGTGAGAGATGATGATGATCATAATATTTTCATATAGTCGTAGTTATTTGCTGTAAATGAAATTCAGAAACAAGCCAGAGCTCAACCTACTTTTGGTCTAATGGCCAGTTTTCATACAGTTTCACAGCTTTTACAAGTGAACAGTGTAGAAAACATTAAGGCCTATCCTATAAACTACATCATATTTCATGACTCTGTGAAACACATCAGATTCTCATGGGTTTTTTTCTCACCTCAGTGATGTTTTGACACATTTTGCAGAGTGAATGTGTTTGTACAAGGTGTTTGTTTGTAGCACAGTTCCAGTTAAAATGACTTAGAAGAGCCTTTGTTGACCTCTTGATTCCAACTAGATGAATTTCTGAATAGCTTTGTGTTTTGTTGGATGAGACAAGACATTTGAAAACATCACTTTAGGCTATGGGGAAGTATAATTAGCCTTTCTACACTGATTTCTGACATGTTTTAGTCAAAAATTAATTGATAATGAAAATAATTATCAGTTGCAGCCCTAAAACATATACTAAGTAATTAAGTGTAAAGTACACTTCATAAACAAAATGTGCTGAAACACTGCATTCAAATGCAATGAGGGTTAATTTTTTAAAATGTATTAGTCCCCAGCTGGCAACCAGACTTCTGGCCCACAAAATCCAGTCTCCTCAGGAGTGGGAGGCTATGCAAGCGCTTACGGTAAGAGATTGCACCTCCTTGCTGCACTGACAAACTCACTTTCCATCAACACTTTAAGTTTTCACGTGTGTGTGTGTGTGTGTGTGTGTGTGTGTGTGTGTGTGTCTGTGTGTTACATGGCTTACAAGTCTAATGGGTCTACAAAAGGCCACATTACATGCCGTGTGTCATTGTTTTTCTTTAAGGTTGGTTGTACAAATAGAAAACCAATAAGCTTTAAACAATTTCCAGGTTCTTGAGACATGTGTGAAGAACTGTGGGAAGCAATTTCACAGTGAAGTGGGAAAGTTTCGCTTTCTCAATGAGCTCATCAAGGTGGTCTCACCCAAGGTAATGACTGCTGTCCTACTGATATATCATATCACTTTGCCTGTAACTCAATATCTGTGAGAATTGTCTTTTGTTGGGATTTACCCAGTGAAAACAGCAGCTATGTCCCTTATCATACAGCATGGTTCAAATATAGTAGAACGAAGCGTTTGCCTGCAACTCAATATCTGTGAGAATTGTGTTTTGTTGGGATTTACCAAGTGAAAACAGCAGCTATGTCCCTTATCATACAGCATGGTTCAAATATAGTAGAATGAAGCACGGAAAATACACAAAATGTTGTATACGATGAAATTGACCTCCTAATCTAATATCTAACATTTCTAACAATTGTCAATATCCTTCCGTCCCCCTCTTTCGTTAGTATTTGGGTGCCCGGGCTCCAGAACCAGTGAAGAAGAAGGTTTTAGAAATCATGTACAGCTGGACTGTGAGGCTCCCAGATGAAACCAAGATAGCAGATGCCTATCAGATGCTGAAAAAACAGGGTGAGTCCTCCACAATTTTCTTTAGCTGCATGCTTTCTCTTGTTCTTTATGGTTACAGTATCTTTGTGGTGTGTTATTCCATACATTCACCCTACAGTGGTTTATTTGTGTGCTTGTGCACACGCATGTTTTACTTCCCATATTTCACTGGTAATGTGTTTTTTGGTTCCTACCATTTTCTTTGTGTTGATAAAAAGTGCTTTGTTCAAAGTGGTATCGGTTCTCCTTTTTATTGTGATGAACCACAAGTATGAGACTGTTGTGCTTAGCTGAAAGGTCACGTTACTCCAGTAAAGTCAATACTCGTGGGCTTTTGTATAAATCACATCTGGTTTCTGGTGTCTGTATTTCTGTCTAAATATATCCCATAGGAGCTGTGTTGTTGACAGACTGTATTTATATAAGGGTAAAATGCTTCATTGCTCTCTTCCAGGCATTGTCAAGCAGGATCCAGTGCTTCCTGATGAAAAGCCTTTCCCACCCCCTCCACTCAGAGCCAAAAGTGCCATCTTTGAGGATGAGGAGAAATCCAAGGTATGACATATGAGTGATAATGAAGAAGCACCAATCATACCAAATAGGTTTACATAAAGGGACAGAGTTAATATTGCTTGTGCCCCATCCATAAAAATCTTATCTACCCTTCAAAACCTTTTGAAGTGAAAGGCTTGAGAAAATGAAGGCACTGCCAGTTTACAAATTCTCTTCCTCTCTTCTTTCCTCTCTTTTTTCCTGTCCTACCCCGTTGTTGTAGATGCTGTCTCGCTTATTGAACAGCACTCACCCAGAAGATCTAAGAGCAGCAAACAAGCTCATTAAGGAAATGGTCCAGGAGGTGAGTCATGGGTTTTGTTAAGCAAATGTGCTGCACAATATGTGGTCTCACGTGTGCTCAAATAAAATACACACCTGATGAGGGCACAGGCAGATTTATGCTGTTTTGGTATTGGTCCCTAGCTTGCAGCTTATTTTGTCCACCCTATTTTTGTCAATTTAAGCTAGGCTAAATAACAGAAACGCTCCTCTGTAAAACACAGTACAGTTTCACAACAGCACAACATGGCCTCCAGAATGACTATGTAGTCGAATCAACACCTCTGAACAGTTAGAAGGTGCAACGAACACCATCACCTTCATGAAGGGAGGATTTATTGCAGGACTGCTGTTTTTGTCTGCATTGGATTTAGCCAGGTGTACACAAGCCGCTATCTCCAAGGCTGCGAAATGAAGCCAATGCAGAAATGTTAAAACCTGCAGTTCCTTGAACAGCCACTTGAGGCTGGCTCCAAAAAAGGGAGTCAGTCCCCATAGACTCCCATGTTAAAATGCCCGACTTTACAGCAAAAATAAACATGTTTACAGTCAGTGGATGTAACTGTCAAGTGAGTGTATGATGGGGATAAAAAACAAAACGAAACAAAAGGCAGGTTGTTCCCAGAGTCATGAAGCTTGATGATCATGATTTGAAATTATCATATCTGGCTAAATAGGAGTCAGCTGTTTTTAATTGTTAAAAAATAGAAAATACAATATAAAATATGATATTTAATACAAATGCAAAATATAATTGTAAAAATTACAGAAATATAATGGTAATAAAGAAAATAACTACTTTAATCAGTGTTTAAATGTAAAATCGACTTTACCTTCACATATTGTGATATCGTGATAAAGAGAAGTCTTATGTACTGTGGCCTGAATTAGCCTTGTACTGACACTGATTCTGGCCATTAGAACATGACAAGTGTCTCTCTTAGGACCAGAAGCGCGTGGAGAAGGTATCAAAGCGAGTGAATGCTATCCAGGAGGTGAAGGAGAGCGTCAGCCTGCTGAGCCAGCTGCTGGAGGGCTACAGCAAGGAGAACAGCTCCCAGAGCAACCAGGAGCTCATTAAGGTTGGCACAGCTCAGCACAATAAAACTGGCTACAGTCTCATAATTCTGCTTGTAACACTCCGTGTGGTGTGGTTTTAGTGTTTTTAATATGTTTCTCATTGCAGGATCTTTACCAGCGCTGTGAAAAGATGAGGCCTACACTGTTCCGGTTAGCAAGTGATACAGAAGATAGTGATGAAGCTTTAGGTAAGTTTACAGATGTCATTATGATTGAAAACAGCATTTATGAAGTGTTTAAGAAAAACATACAAATGTCATGGAATCAGTCTCACTTTAAAACATAACATTAGAAAACCACTGTGGTCTTGATAATTACTTTTCTGCTTACAGCGGATATTTTACAGGCCAATGACAGCTTGACACAGGTCATTAATCTGTATCGACAGCTGGTAAAAGGGGAGGAGGTGACAAAAGATGCTGTGCCCTCACAACCAGGTGAGTGTATGTGTGTGTGGTTTTTAACATCATTGCTAAAAACTGCAGCTTAGTGTGATTTAACATCAGTCAGTGTTTATGGATTTCATAGATTTTTCTAGACAGATTATTAAAGATGGGTATTCTCTGTCCAAATCAGGCAGCAGTAGTTCAGCACTCGTAGACCTAATGGGACTTAACGCATCGGCCAACCCTGAGCCCTCCAGTGTACAGAACATGGGCATCAGCCTCTTGGACGATGAACTCATGTCTTTGGGTAAGTGCAGCTCATCGCTGACAAACTCATCTGGCTTTTAAACATAATTGCTTTTTTAACCAGCTTATTAAAAGGGTTAAGTCAGCAGCATAAGCACAGCATTACACCTTATTTCCACTGACAAGGGTGTAGCCCTCCTGTTGGCTGGCTTGCTAGCAACCTCAGCAGTAGGCCACACCTGGCCTGACCACAACCAACACATTCCCAGCCTGTTACCATTTAGCCACACATGTCACAGACCCTAACATAAGCAATGAATTGTTTTTAGTTATATCACATTGTATTGACTTTTAATATGTTATAAGCAGCAAAAGTTGGAATAAAAATTAAGTAACCTTTGTTGTTCATGTCTTTTTAGGGCTGAATGTAACAGAAAACTGCGACTCCCAGAATGCTTTTCAGGTGCAAGTTACATAATTCTTTACATGCTTATATTAAACCAGTGTTTGTAGAATCTGAAGTCTTGTTACTTTGCCAGAACCCAGTGGAGGTTTCACAGCAGATTCTAATACAAATCAAAATGACAAAATATGCTATGATCACACAAAATACTACACAGTGGCTTTAAAGGGGATAGTGATGTCACATTTCAAGCCATTTTACATCACGTCTTTCACCATACAATTTAAAACTGTTTATTTTCTCAGTCCTCTGATAGCACAGAACCGTCTGCTGCATCGGTGCCAGCTGCAGTGTTGGTACCAGCTACGGTCCAAACGCAGCAGGCTCCACCAGCAGGGGGCTCCACTGCTCCTCCTAAAGCCATGGAAGAGCTGGAATTGCTGGGCAAGACCTTGTTACAGCAGTCCCTACCACCAGAGAGCCAGCAGGTCAAATGGTAAGGGAAGCAGACTGGGACATATGTGAGTTGTGCTCCAGGTTAATCCACTAATCCTTTCATAACCCCAGAGCATAATATAAGTGTAATGTAATACACAGCAGTAGCCCCTGTTAAGGGGAGTTATACAGTATGTTTTCTTTGACATGCACACAACTACCATGTAACTTGGGCTTTTCATTCTTCTACATGCAGGGATAAACTTCAACCTCAGTCCAGAGTCACCTTAAGAGATCTGCAGACCAAATCCAGCACAAACTCCAGACCCACCCCTACTGCGGCCATTCCTTCACAGCAGCCCGACGTTCTCCTCCTCTCCAATCTCAGTGTTACAGCTGCTGGAAAAGGCTCAGTACTTAGTGCTGACCCCAGCAACAACATCTCTCTTTCTGACGTTACAGTGCCTCTGGAAACTATCAAACCGGGTAAGCACAAGCAACAGCAGCAGACCTGACAGTGACACCGGGTTTTCTGTCTTTATTTTTCTACATCATGCGGGTGTGGTCATAAATGCAGTTTTCTGTCTTTATTTTTCTACATCATACCATGTTATCTATCTCTTGTGTCTGTACGTACATTTCAGGCACCTTATTACCACTGACTGTATTCGACAAACACAGCCTCCGGGTGTTGTTCACCTTTGCCCGTGACTGTCCTCCGTCACGGCCTGATGTGCTGGTGGTGATCATCTCTGTGCTGTCATTGGCCCCCATTCCTGTCACCAACATCCGCTTTCAGGCAGCTGTACCCAAGGTCGGTTCATGTTGTCTGCTGTTCATAGCTAGTGGTTAAAAATACCATCGTGTGCCCCAGTGGTTTCTGAGCCAGACCTAAAACAGCCATTTGACTTTTCCACGTAAGCCTCTGTTTATTCAGTTTAAGGCAGTCTGTTAGAGTTTAATGTAAGAATTTTAATGTTTAGTCAGTTGGAAGCCATATTTCTTGACTACTTTTATTAATTGTGGATATACTGTATGTTGCTACTGTGGTTTCCATTTGTTAATGGGTGTTCATTGTCTAGGTGATGAAAGTAAAACTGCAGCCGCCCTCAAGTACAGAGCTCCCAGCGTTCAACCCTGTCCTGCCACCAGCTGCCATCACACAGATCCTGCTATTGGCTAACCCTCACAAGGTGCTCAACATTTATCCTATTATACGTACTTATTGTGGACTTGAAGCTCCACAAGCCCCTTTTACACAGAGATTATGGAAAACTGTTGGAAATTGGGGAGTACAGTAGCCTACTATATGTGCATCCAGTTTCAGGTCTGTGTGTCTGAGGGCAGGGCTACATACAGACAAAGTGCACCTCACCTCAGGACAGACAGAAGCATGTGTTTTGGCTGCATTCACACAGAATCCTTTCCACTGTGCAAAGGTGTGGCTGTGCTTATTTGCGCTTTAGGACATAACCACTGAAACGATCAAAATAATGTTTTAGTTCTCTGATTCACGTTCTATTTTGACGCTGTTCTCTCTCCTCATGCTCTCTCTCTAGCTCACACACACACACACACACACAGACAGACCTCAGACCCTCCATGTCATCTTGTCCCATTTACACAGGAAGTGGAGTGAGCTTGTCTCAGCAAAAATACTGCCTATCATTGCAGCAGTTTGGGGGTAAACATCTACCCCCCCCATTCTAGGACTGTGCCTACACAGAACAAGGCAGAAAACTTGCTGCATCAAATGGGCAGTGTAAAGGGGCTACAGTGGCTCAAAGTATTCAGCCCTTATACTTTTTTGCACACTTTGTTTTGTAGATATAATTTTAAATTGATTACTTTTTTGCACACTTTATTGTTTTGTAGATATAATTTTAAATTGATGCATCATCATGTTGGTCCTACAGTCTACACGTGGTGTCTCATAAGGACAAAGTGAAACCATGTTTCTGCCTGAGTTTGCTGAACTGTGTTTAAGGACTGAGAGCATGAGGAAATGTGATTGGTTATGCTGATGGAACATTGTCATAGTTACTGATTATATTAGAGATTATGTGAATATTTCTAAATGAAAATGTTGTAATGCAGTTTAAGATACTTAAAAATGGGATTAAATGTAGTTTTAAAAAGCGAGTTTTTGAATATAGGTTGCATATGGCCTTTAGTTGTTTTCACAGCATTTGTTATCCTGATTACATTTACTGCATATTTATATATAGCCAGAAGTGAAGCCACACTAAATTAAAGTAATAATTTGGGATCTTTCAAGTTGGTGTTAAAACAGTATTCCTGTGTATGTGAGAGTAGGTGTAACCCTGAACGTCTCCACTCAGGTCACTACACTGCAAGAAATGAGGGACAAAATATACTTTTTGTTCTGTGCAATGACTCAGTCCAAAGTTTGTCTGAGGTTCAAATGCAACTTGTTAATTTGAGTCAGTATATTTCAAAGCTAGTCTATTTAAAACAAATGTCCCTCTTTTAAATTGTATTTTATAAATCCCATTAAAAAACTCGGGTGACCTTATAAATTATAGGTGCTCTGGGGAGTCTTTGATCACTAGTTGTAGTACGGAGCTAAGCTGTTATTAGTGGATCCCTGTTTTGTTTGTATGGTGCATAAGGAAGTGTAAGTCGTATCCAGTTGTTGGTTTCATCCTGTTTTTGTTGGTTGATAGCCAATAGTGGTAACGTGTAAACAAATGCAGCTATGTATCAACGAGGGAAGAAGCAAATATGGATGTACACAATGGAGGATTTGAAATATGTACATTTAAAAAAAAAAAGTCTTTCTTTCATGCTGAAAAAAGGCACTCAACAGGTCAGACCTCATGGGTATACTATTTTTTGGTCAAACACTGAATGCAAAATAAACTTTCCTTTATTTATAAGACAGCTCCTTCAGGGCACCTTTAATGGCATTGAACTGACATCTCCCCTCCTGTGTTTCAGGAAAAAGTACATTTGCGGTACAAACTGACATTCAACCTGGGGGGAAAGTCTTATGATGAATCTGGGGTTGTCGACCAGTTCCCATCTCCAAACACTTGGGGAAACCTTTAGCGAGAAGGACCACACTCCTGTCATCGATGTGCTGCTGCTTCCTTTAGATTTCAGCTGAAGTTGTCCCTCATCGCTGGCAGAGGCACGATGACCTCTTTATACTTCACTGGTTTGATAATACAAACTGACATGAGACCAGTTGTGGGAACCATCTTCTACCTTGTGCCTTCCTTCACAGCCTTCCTGTCCTTACTCGATCATTTCAGTTTTCCTGTGTTTTGTAGCTTGGTTTTCTTCCATTAGCCCGACCCAGCAATACAGAGTAGGCTTTAGATACGGTGACTCAGTGCAGTGACTTTTGGGAACAAAAGTTGAGCCCTTTAAAAAACAAATGTCTGCATCTGTTTGATTTCCATACTGTTAGTCCCATGTAATGTGAATTACATGTAGCAGCTGGTGTCTGTATTATGTCAGGGTTTTTTTTTTTCTCCTTAATCTAAAGCAAGTGTCTGGTGCATTCCTAGTTTAGGATTCAAAATATTGCACATTCAGTGTTGTCTCAATCTACGTATCCCATGTTATCTTTGCGTGTTCATTGTATGGTTGCAACAGATAATTTGCTTTGTTCACTAATATTGTTTTCTGTTAAACTGTAAGTCAGCTGAATGCTTAAAGCAATATTATGAGTGCTGAAAATCCTTCCCAAAACAAAAAAACCCTGGTGTATTGAATTTGATATGGGATACTTACCATTTAATGTATCGATTTGAAATTAATTTCCTATCAAATGATGAATTTAATAATTTGCTCATTGTTTCTGCACTACTTCAGTGTACTTCAGGAATAGGCGCGACATTATATTCAAGTCAAACGAATATAATGAAAACTTATTTGTTGGGAACAGAGTTGCATATAAAAGTACACTAATTGAGCAAAATGCAACTGTCAGCTCCCACGTTAGAAATCCTTAAGGATGTTTTTCCTTTTGATCAGCTAGAGACAGTAATTAACTGAAATGCTGTAATAACGGTAAAAGCACAGAGAGAACCAAATTATCCCAGGAGCAAACCTAATGAATTGGCACATAGGTTTAAAGTACTGACTTGGTTCTAGTATGTCATTTTTGGAAAAAACTGCAGTTGGGAGGTGTGTGTATCCAAGCTGTGATGATAGGCCTTGTTCACAGCAGACATCACAGCTGTTCCTATTGATGGATGTTATAATCGAGAGAGTCTGTCATCTGTTATAATGAAGGAAGGGCACTACGGCTGTGCCCCTTTAGCTTTTTATTTATTCCGTTCTTTTATTGATTTCCAAATATTTGGACACTATTCAGCATTGTTTGCCTCTGGATTTTGATTTGGAGATTTATTTAGCACAATCTGATGCTTCATGCATGCACTTTGCTTAAATTTTGCACGTGAATCCATTTCCTGTCTCAGTACATTGTCTTTTTTCTTGGGCTGCCTTTCTATTTTTGTTTGACCTAAAGACGGACGTGAAGTCTGGAGTTGAAATCACTGACATCCAGTTTGATTCTGCCGCACGTGCCTGAGATGTTTGAGTTTCTTCTGCTTTGTACACACGCGTATACACACACCGATGACCAGTCTGATCATTGTTTTGGTGTTCATGTGGTCACGCCCTCTTCAGAAATGACCTGATGAAACAAACGAGACATTAGAATGATCTGATTATCCATGGTCATGGAGAACAGGGCTACGATTACTCACTGAGCTCATAAAGGCCAAAAAGAAAATGTTAGGAGGCTGATTGATTCCACCTGAGAATTAAACATAATCTGAAATGCACATGCAACTACAGTAGGAATAGAGCTGGAGATTCAGTTTATAATATGAGGGATCAATTTTAGAATGACCATCTGAGTAATACTGGTTCAGTTGCAACCCTTCTTGAAAGCATTACACTTCATATTGTTGACCAACCCAAAAACAGTCCTCACACAGTGCCATTGAAGAGTCTGATGGGTTGAGTAACTCAGTAATTACATTTCATATGGCTTTTATGCCTTTATACATTTACACTATCAACTCATTTAGGATGGACAGAAAAGCAATAATGAGACAATGAGGGAGGATGATAAATGCTATGTATAGCTCTTCCAGCTTCTTGGTTTAAGGTATTGAGCAAGTCAAGAATCGTCATTCCCGTCTGCCCTGATCATACTTGAGCTACAGCCACACACTACCAGCTGTGGCACAGTTGCAATGATAAGGAAAAATTCACTTGCCTAAAACTTTGAACAATATACTCGTGTACTACCCCATTTACTGTCAGGGTTGAGTATTCACTGAGGTGCATTTATGGGTATGTGCTTGACCTCTGTACTTGGTTTACAATGGTCACCACAACAAGCAGACAAACGTTTATCACTCAACTGTGCAAGCAATGCACTTGCTTCATAGAGTTTGACAGGATGGAGTTCCCACGTTAACTAGGACTGTGGGGAAAAAAAAACTAAAACGTAACTAAAGACCCAGACTGTATTCACATTTCAGACTGATACACAAAATGATGCAGCAAAACTAACTGCTAGCAAATGAAACCATGTGAGTGGCAAGGTCTATACAGAAGTATTTCTGAGGGAGGGAAGTCTTCTATTGGAAATAAGAACTACATGCCATTAAATGTTTACCAATAAACACATATGTACATATTTCTGGGTACAAACTGAGAATGTACTAAAATGTATATTTAAGGCAAATAAAGTCATTTGTACAAGGAATGTATGAATAAGTTGATCAATAATGGAGGAAGTGGAATTTATAGCTTTGATTTGTGAATTTATTAGGAAAACACTAAAATTAAAAGAAAAAACAAGCAACAAACTAATTTAGTCAATATGCATGAACAAAAGTCTGCATCGGCTGTTCTTACTACACAATATGCCAGTTAAACAGAAACATTAGTTTTAACTTGCTGCATGAAAAAGTAAAGGGATACATGACAGATGATTACACTAAAACAAACAGTGGTTGAATGGTACCAAAACTGTTGGAGATGAGATTCACAAACTCACATCCATCGCTTCAACATTTGGAGTAACACAAAATCTATGCAATAGTTAAAATATATTACTAGACAAAACCTAGGTCTCCATACTGCAGAATAAATCAAAGCTTTACAAGATGTGATGGTCAATAATAAGGCTAACTTTAACAAAGCTAGAACATGATATAGCTCTGGAATGTGAAAAAAAATCATTACAATACAAACAATGTCAACCACATACCACCGAGGCCTCAGTACATGCTAGTTTTCATTCCAATCAAACCAATGATGCAGCTTCAGCTACAGAGGGACCAGTGAAATCCACTGCTGTAGTGTTTGAAATGAAAACACAGGAAACCTGTTCCTCCATGGTACATGGCTGAGAACAGCTGTATAAGACTTTGGACAGGGACCGCCTAGGTGGGGAAAAATATAGGGGTCAAATTCCTGGTTTCTTTTTGAATGGAAAATCTAAATTGTAAATTTGGCGTATTAAAAATTACAAAATAAACTTTAGATATATGCCTGTTCAAACCCCTACCCCTAGGAAATGACAAGAGTAAGAGTAAAAACAAAGTTACACTGTACACACAGAAAGGAGCACAACTACTTCTGGGGAGGTGGAGGAACTGGAGGGGGTGGAGAAGTAAAAGAATATGGTGGTTGACCCATGAAGCCCATGAGTGGGGGCTGTGGTGGAGGAAACTGCTGAGCCATCAGAGGCTGTGGCCCCCCTGATGGAGGAAGAGGGGGAGGAGGGTGACCAAACTGTCCCTGTGGTTGGTGTGGCTGATTAGACTGATCCTGAACACCCCCGCCACCGGGCGGGCCTCCACTGCGGGTGTTGGAGCTGGCGCCCGTGCGGGTACCAGAGTTGTAGCTGTTCCTGTTATCCCGGCTTCGGTCCCTGTAGGAAGATGAGGCGGCAGTGGAGCGGTCCCCGTCACGGTTGCTACGGCTGTAGCTATTGTGGTTGTCTTTGCCACCGCCAGCTCCACCAGAGCGCATGCGGCGATCACACTCATCCTGGTACATCAGGTTAGGGTTGTTGGAGCTACTGTTTCGGTAACGCATTCTGCCACCTGTAAAAACAACAAAAAAGTGAAATCAATGTGATTTTTTTTTTTACCTGTAGATCACAACCTTTCATCTTCAGATCTAGAGATGTCCCAGAATTTCCCATCTATTCAGACAGTCCCTCTTACCGCCTCCTCCACCACGTCCTGAGTCCACGAGTTGAAGCAGTTTAGGGTTGATGGCCTGCCGTGCCTCCTCTAACACCCGGACAAGGTCCCGGGCCTGTCGCAAGTTCCCTGGGGTGAAGAAGGTGTAGGCAGTGCCCTTGTTGGTACTGCGAGCTGTACGTCCAATACGGTGGACGTAGTCCTCAGAGCAGCTGGGATAGTCATAGTTGATGACAAACTTGACATCTTCCACATCTTTTAGATAAAGAATGATTGGTTTTACACAATGGGGAAAAGAAGATCATCTCAAGGGAAAAAGCTTCTGGAGAAAGAATTGGTAATTTTTGCACAAAACCAAGAGCTGATGTTTTTTAATTAACTCAATTACAATTCAAACTTTTGTTTTGCACAATAAAATTATTTCAGGCTAGAAGTCAAAAATCTAAACAAATAGAATAACTTACCTGCTTTATCAGACACTGTGCAAAAATCCACACATCCAAGGTTTCATTAAATTAACCATTTTATCTAATTTAAATCCACACTTCAAACTGAACTTAGCTCACGGGTGTCATGCTCATTTGATGTAGAGTGAGCACGACATCGAAGGTTAAAAAAAAACAAAACAAAAAAAAAAAACCATGGCTTTGAATGCTTCATACCAATGTGATTACTGGTCAAAACATGTGAAGACAAGAAGTCTGTTTCTCATTACAGAAGATGTGGGGCTCCGACAGCACTGCTGATCAATAAGTCTCCATCTTCCCCTCCATCATGACAGAGGGGAACCACTTCATTAACCACAACCTACTGATTAACAGTAACGATGTGCCGGGATAAAACTGTGCTCTACTGAGTGTATGGTGAGCTCGTGGAGGAGTTAGGAGAAGGGGGCGGTGTGGTACTTACCGCCTTCATGTTGTTTCTACAAAGGTAGTCAGTCCCCCCTGATCAGTCCTGGTTCATTGCGAGGGGCTGAGGGGGAGGGAGGCAGGATTCATCCCTCACCTTCTGTGCACACCAGCAACGCCAGACGGGAGCAGAACCGTTTAACCTCATGAGACGCACAACGGCTGGTTCTGTTGCTCTCTCGTCACATTGCAGGACCCTCCTCAGACCCTGGCCAGGACTGGATCCCAGACGAGCCCGTCTAACTCTCTCTCCCCTGTCTGTCTGCTTTTTGGGACGGACCGATGGGCAGACATACAGGCACCTCAGGCTGCTCCCAAGGAAGGCTCGTTGGATTTTCAAACTCTGACAATACTGGGCAGGGGGGATCTTAGTTACCCAAGAAGAATAAGAGGGCCTTTAATCCCTCTAAAATTAGCTGAGCTTCTACTTTAATGTGACTGAGGGGGCAGTGACAGCAGCGCAGACTGTTACAGCTGCCGTGTGCTGCCAAACCCTGAGAGGAGAAGAGGGGAAAAAAGAACAAGGATATGTCATAGGAATTTTGGCAAGTCAAAGACACTTCACCTATCCCCCTTCTCAGATTTGTCCTCATGTCAAACTAGCCATCCTAGTCTTCCTGATGTCTCTGTGGAAACTCAGCTATCACTGACCTATTCAAATACATCTGCAAAACATAACATGTAGCATTTTGCAGAATGATACCAATGGAATAACTACACAACGTATTTTAATGTGTGGAGAAATGTGTAATATCAAGCAACATAATCAGTGAATTTGCACTGACACCATAAAGGAGACATAAGAAAGGCGCCCAAGAGCATCCGCCCCACACAGCCCTCCTTTCAGGCAGCGTGCCAAAGAGCCCCGGTTAAAGGAAGCCTTTTAACTGCAGTAACAAGAAACAGACATAAACCCAGTGGACCAGAAGGCCTGCAGCCTCTATACTGAATGTCACAGTGTATTTAACTGTCAGGTTATAACTGTAGGACCTCCTTAAATATACTGTGTTGAGTTCATCACAATGTACATCACATACATTCAAACTGACTAAACCTGTTGGTTAACAGCATTACTATATATTTTATCAAATCTATATTTCTGATGTGACAGCTTGTATAAAAATGTCATAAAAGCACCTGTAAATAATCAACAGAAGAAAATTCTGAAAGAGATGCATATGCATTTTTCATTTTGTGGTATGGAGATTGATTTGTATTTTCCAACTACATATATACAGCAACAAAGGGTTCTTCTCACATCTGCCTGCTCGAGCTGGTCTCATCTTTAATATACTTACCCACTAGGGGTGGGAGAAGAAAAATCACAAACAAATCACTATTCATATCTTCTATGATTCTAAATCAATTCACAAATGCTGAAAATCGACTTCTGCAATAATGGTGGCAGAACAAAAAAAAGGCAGAACACAACCGTGAAGCCGGCGTAGCACACGGACCGCAGACAGTGTGCACATACAAGAGCTGTGTTGTACATCTATGGTTGTAATGTTAGTTCATGTTCAGTAAAAGAAATCATTTGAGCACATGTTAATGTCTGTGTGGAGGACTGTGTGAATACTTCGTAGCCCATCATACCATAGCAGAGGACCGAACTTAACAAACGAGAGCAGCTCAGCAATGCACACTGCAGCACAAACTGGTTGGACTAAGAAAAGACCTCGTTTCTAAAGACCTGTGCCTGGCTTTCTCTAGTACTAACGCTGCAGCAGAGACACTGTTCTCCACTGCCATGGATGTAACGTTATAAACAACACTACCACACGCTCTGCTTTCTTCTCCTCCATCCCCTTTACAACACACACGCCAGCTACCAAAAAACAGCGGTGGAAGGACTCAGATTGTTGACTGAAGTAACAGTAGCAGTACCACAGTCTAAAAATACTCTAAAAGTCCTGCACTCAAAATATTACTTAAGTAAAAGTGCAAAAATATTAGCACCAAAGTATAACCTAAAGTACCAAAAGTAAAAGGCTTACTCATGCAGATATTATTGGATTATAATTACTGGTGCATTACTGAGTTCATTGCATTTAATGGTGCACCCGGTAAAAGTGAAGTTCATTTCAATAACATTCTATAGGCCTACTTATAATTTCAAGTACTTTACATAATGCTACTTGGTTTTGATGCTCATCAGAACCAGTTAACTTAACTGTCTGCTAAGCTTCATTAGCAGCTCATTGGCAACAGACAGGAATGAGTTGTTTGACAGAGTAAACTAGAGTAAATGACAGCATATATAATTTTTTATATATATGTAATTTTTTTATTATCGAAAATCGTTCTGAATCAAAGTGTGACACCAAGAATTACAATCGAATCGCGAGTCTGCCAAAGACCCCCACCCCTATTACCTACTGGTCAAAATTAATTTGAAAAAAGGAAGTAATGGTGTATGTGAACACATTAGTGTAACTGTGGTGACCGTTTACTCATATTATTGTATTATGTACAGAAAACAATATTATGACAGGAAAAACTGAAAAGCAAGGAGAAAAGAGACAATGATGTGAGATTCTACAACTGTAACTATGTGTGTGAGGAGACATACCCAGACCACGAGAGGCAACATCGGTAGCAATCAGTATAGGAGCTTTGCCACTCCGGAATTCTGTGGAGTCAGATAAAATGTTAATGGGAATACTGGCAGAAAAAGACAATAACACTGTAGAGCAGAATGGAAATCACCATCTCACAATCAACTGAGGCGATAATGAATGACTGATACCTACTGATAAACAGTCTTTACTATTCTGTACTGTGGCCCTTCAATGCTGACAGCTGAAAGCCACTTAAGGTGAGAAAATGATCGACAACAAAAGAAGGAAATGGTAAAACCATATTAGATGTATTCTTGCCTGTGAGCACCCAGTCTCTTTCTGGCTGGCTCTTGTCTCCGTGGATACACATGGCTGGCCACCTAGTAAACAAGAGCGCAATGAAGTGATGAGATTGGTGAACATTCTCTATACCTTTTTTCCATCAAATATTTGCATAATTCATCATGTGGTGTCATATCAGACAGTAACTGCTCACCCATCCCGCCTCATCCTCCTGGTAAGATCATCACAGCGCTTCTTGGTCTCAACAAATATGATGGTTTTGTTCTCCTTTTCAGCCATAATTTCCTCCATCAGCTGAAAAAGTCTGTAGACAGGGAGACACTCTCATAGCACATAGCACATGGACATAATGTCACATGACTTCCCTCTGGCTATCCTTACTTGTGGTCCTTTTCATTCTCCATACAGACATCAACTATCTGCAAGATGTTGTGATTGGCACTAAGCTCCAGAGCACCAATATTAATCTGGATGTAGTCTCTCAGGAAATCCTCAGCGAGCTGGCGAACCTCCTTTGGCCAGGTTGCACTCCACATCAGAGTCTGTCTGTCAGGCTGAGAGGTAAAGAGAGACACCATACAACTTACTTAACAAAAAAATAAATAACCTTCTACATTAAAAATTGGGATTATCACTTTAAATGTAGTAGTCTTGGTAACTGAGCCTTTGTCTTACCCTAATTTGCTCAACTATCTTGCGAATCTGTGGCTCAAAGCCCATGTCCAGCATGCGGTCAGCCTCATCCAGCACTAGGTAGGTGCAGCGACGCAGGTTAGTCTTTCCTGCCTCCAAGAAGTCAATTAGGCGACCAGGTGTGGCGATGCAGATCTCAACACCTGGAGCCATACAAATTACCATGTCAAAAGATACACAAATGATTAGCCGCTTAGGTTGCGCTGACTGTTTGTTGATTTGTTAATTATCTATCTGGCCACAACTCACAGCGAAACACGATGTGTTAAAATACCAGGCAGCAGCTGTGAAAGTGATTTATCAAAGAGTCAGGTCAATGCTGGTTCTATAGTCTATTCATATACCAGGATTTAGCTGTTTTTTGATGAATTAAAGAAGTTGTTCTAGGTTGGTACAAGCACTACTATCACATCATTCTAGCATGAGTGAAGTTTTCAAAGTCAGCTTAGCTGTCCACCCTAAAACTAGGAAAGTATAGACTGAATAGGATCTGAACAGTAGTATGACAGATACTGAATTTTATACCATTCTATTCCACAACCATACCCACCCCTCTCAAGATCGCGAATCTGTGGTCCTTTGGGTGCTCCACCATAGACACAGGTGCTTTTGATACGAGAAGACTTGCCAT